TCGAACTTATTACTAAAGGGAAATGGTCACTGCCACATGTTGAATCAAGGGAATTCCAATTCATTTTTGAAGTTAATCCAGGAGTGCAAATAGATAGGTCAACAGCACTGACATTTTCATTAGGTTTTGTACGACGAGTCGGAACTCCTGTATTTAATAAACATAAATTATGTGAGTCTATGATTTCTAATAATTGTTGTCCAGCAGTGTCAGTTATTCCACTACCCCAACTGCGGTGATGTGAATTAAAATCGCCTAATAAGAGAAAAGGATTAGTCAGAGATGTTATTAATTGGTCGATATCATTATTCAGAATGTTAGATGTTGCATCTGGTATATATATTGATACAATAGAAGTTCTATTTTGTAATGTAATCCCTATAACATTGAAGTTATTTATATTATGCGTTGGCAAGGTCAGCCGCACGAAGGAAATTGTATTCTTAACAAGTATGGCTACTCCTGCATAACCATCTGGTCTATCTTCTCTGAGGCAGGTAAAACCAGGGATTCCAAATAGAATGCCTGGCTTTAACCACGTCTCAGATAATACTACCACCGAGCAATTGTATTTGTTAATTAAATGAATTAAGTCACTTTTTTTTGACGTTGCACTTCTACAATTCCACTGTAGGATTTTTAGATCCATTATTGGCGATTAGGTTAGATATTATTTCAACTATAATGGCAACGTTGGACGGTTTTAATGTATGTTTTGTTAACAAAGTATTAAGTAATGAAATAACTGTTTCAATTACATTTTTATTTTCAAATTCTTCATTGGCACTTGGTTTAAATGCAGAACCATTTGGTGAGGTACAAGGCATATCATAATCACTTATAATCTTATTATGTGTTAGCTGGTCATATCCTTTCGATAAAATTATCGGTGAACGTGGTTTTAAGTAAACGGTCTTTTTATATGAGGTATTATGTGATTTTTGATCCTGTCTCTTATAATTATTTATGTCAGATGTTTGATTAGTTGCTACAACATCAGCATATGGTTTTGATATTGGTGGGTGGAGTTTGCTAGCTTCCATGTAAGAGATACTGCTTTGGGACATAGTCAATTTAATGTCTTTTTGACGTTGGAATTCCGGACAAATTTTATTCGTAGCGTAATGAAACCCTGAACACATTATACACAGTGCACAACTTTCCTCTACTGAACAGTTTTCACTTCTATGATCCTGAGCACATTTGAAACATCTCGGAGGTGACCGACAAACAAGTTTTGTGTGTCCATATCGACAACAATTAAAGCATTGGATTGTTGGGTAGGTATAGAGTTCAACTGGTAGTGCATTGTAACAAATGTATACTCTTTTAGGAAGAACTTGTCCATCGAAGGTAAATACGACAGACTGAGTTGGTTTCCAAATTACTGACCCATCAACGTGAACTTTATAATTAATTCTCCGTAATTTTATAATTTCTCCACAACCCATTGGAATAGAGACATTGCTTTTAATTTCTTCTGGTGTCCAGTCGGCTGGTACACCACGTACAATACCAAGTTTAGTAACATTAAATATGGGAATAAATGCACGAAGTTTAAAATCGATCAAATTTTTATTATTTAAAAAGTCATTGGCATCTTTAATTGTGGAAAACGATACAGTACATCTATTACGACCTATCCTTTTAACACTTCCTGTCACAATATTTTGAAAATTATTTTTCTTTAAAAAGTTGCCAAAAGTAATAGGATGAAGTGTGGAGCCATCACCCGGAGAGTCTTGAATTCTTTGTACATGAACAATATACGGGGATAAATCTGTAGAAATATAATGTTTACGACCTACCTCTGTACGTGGGAATAAAGTAGAATCAGCTTTTGAGTCATCTCTCTGTTTGTTATTGCTAATTATGGGAGTTATTGGTTCTTTAAATTCTACATTTTTATCTAATAAAGTACATTGACAATCTATTTCGCTAGAAGTACCTGTACCTATATGTGAGCTTCTCTTTCTCTTTTTATTACAATTTTTACAACGCTTATGGTATCTGGACCTTTTACGCGTCCAACCATCCGCACTGCTTATAGAGGCGTCAGTGTCCATTTCGTTATTAGAATTATTATTTACAGTTACATTATATCCAACAGGGGGACCCAGGTCAGGACCTAAGTCCCCCGCGGTTAGATCCGGTGGTTTATTCATAAAAATGTATCCATACAATATATATTATAAAAACTTACCGAAAATATACAGGATAAATATACAAAAATACAATTACAATACACTAATTATAGAAATATAACACTACACAACTTATCTGATTCGTTCAAATTTACAAAACAAAATTTTTAAAATTTTGCAAGAAAAATTTCGTCCGCCTCGTTTAAAGTTTCCCGCGCTTTTTTTTTCTACAACAATGTTATCAGGCAATATCCCCTTATCTTGGAGGTCACAAGTAGTGTTGCCCATCCCTAAACCCAATAAATCTTTAATTGATCCTCCTTCATACCGACCCATAGTGTTGTCATCTGTATTGATTAAATTAGCTGAAATACTCATTAAGAATCGCCTAGAATGGTTTGTGGAAAGTCAAAACCTGTTGTCAAAAACCCAATATGGTTTTAGGAAAGGAAAGAGCACTATTGATAGTTTGAGTATATTCACAACAGATATACGACTTGCGTTTTCGTTCAACAAATCGGTGGTAGCAGCATTTTTGGATATAAAATCGGCATACGATAATGTTTTATTATCTGTTTTGAAATGTAAATTAGAGTCTTTACACGTTCCACCTATTTTATGTTTTTTTATTTTAAACATTTTAAAAGAACGCTATCTTACAATTTGTGTGTCTTCTGACATAGAGATACAAAGAACAGTATGGCGAGGTTTACCGCAGGGTTCCGTTCTTAGCCCATTATTGTACAACATTTACACTTATGACATTGACTATGTATTTGAAAACAATATTAAACTTCTTCAATACGCCGATGATCTATTAATTTATTCCACAAACCATTCTATTGAAATAGCTTCAGAAAATATCTCTACTGCCCTAAGTTCTTTGAAACAGTGGATGGATACTAATGGATTAGAAGTATCAGCTACGAAAAGTTCAATAGTGGTTTTTTCACGAAAAAGAATTCTCCCTCCTCTCAATATTTCTTATAATGAAGTAAATATTCCGGTTGAACCTGAGAAAAAATTTTTAGGCGTATTTTTAGACACAAAACTCACTGGTGTGGCGCATTGCAATTATATTGTTGGCAGAACTGAACGTCTTTTAAACATTCTTCGATGCCTCTCCGGAGTTTGGTGGGGCGCTCATTCCCAATCTCTTAAATTAATTTATAACGCCTTGATACGCAGTCTATTAGATTATGGCACATTTCTATTAGAACCTGGCAATACTTGTGCTCTTAAAAAACTGGATAACATCCAATCCAAGGCCCTTAGAATAATAATTGGCGCTATGAAATCTAGCCCTATAAATGCGTTACAGATTGAGGCTTGTGACCCCCCACTGAGTTTAAGACGTCAATACCTATCTGATAGATTTATATTCAGTGCTATACAATTCTCTAACCATCCTCTGTTCCAGCTGCTTGAGTCCTTGAATATAGACATCGAAACTAATAATTATTGGATCCATAAATCACGTCCTTGCTTGATAATAAGTTATCAAAAATATTTAAATCTTTTAGCTCCTACCCATCGATCCAATTGTCTCCCCATATTTAGCGTAAATTTTGATGCTTTACAACTTTCCCCTTTAATTCGATATGATTTAATTGTTAAAGATGATAACAACGCGAACATTACATTTAAATCTGTTATTGAGGCAAATTATAATGACTATAATCACGTGTTTAGTGATGCTTCCAAATCCACCTTTACAGAATGTACCGGTATTGGAGTCTATCATTCTCAGTACAATATTTCACAAAAAATTAAGCTTCCTCCAGAGTCATCCGTCTTTACAGGAGAATGTTTGGGTCTATTAAAAGCTGTAGAATACGTGATTCTAATGAAACTCAAGAAAACAATAATTTTCACTGATTCCATGAGCTCTCTTCAAGCTTTATCTAAATTTCCATTCTGTAATCGCTCTTACTTACCTGTCATTTTTGAAATAAGGAGCTGCTTATTAAAATGTTGTTCATTAGGTTACTTGGTGGAGTTTGCATGGTTACCGAGCCATAGTGGAATTACTGGAAACGAAATATCTGATCATCTAGCTAAAGATGCAGTAAATTGTGGTGATATGTTTCCTTATAAAAATTATAGCAAAGATCTGCTATCTTTGCCCATGCGCTACTTACAGACCAAATGGAATACTGATTGGACCACTAGTAGTAAATTCAAAGGAAAACACTATTTACTAATTCAACCTGATATCTTACATAAACCTTGGTTTCGAAAAGCGAAGTATGGAAGGACTGCTATAAGTACTCTTTCACGTATGCGTCTTGGTCATGTTTGTTCTCCAGCACATTTAGCCAAACTTGGAATCATTAATGATGCTACCTGCGAGTGTGGGATGGATACTGGAGATTTAAACCATATCTTTTTTGCTTGTATACGTTACGATCGCACGGTCTTCCTTAATGACCTATTGTCTCTCCGTGTTCCTTTCCCGACATCAATCGTTTCCTTACTATCCACTAATAACCTATCCATTTATAATTGCATAGTATCATATATAATTTTAAATAATATTAAACTCTAATCTATTCTATATATGTATTATAAAATTGTGTAAATATATCTTCCTTCTCCCAATTCCTAAGCCTCCTGAACCTATCCCATAAAAAATCCGTTCCAACTTCTATTTCCTTTCGTTTCCGTTTCCCAAACTTTGACAATGGCTAAGCACAAACAGTGCAAGCCAAATAAAAAAAAAAAAAAAAAAAAAAAAAAAGAGAAGATTAGGCTTTGCCTTATAAAATAATATAATCCAAGATTTGGCTGTATGGCTTAGTTCCTTCGCCTGTCCCATGGACGAATTATAATACTACTACTACCTACTACTAAGCATAAGCAAACAAAAAGAAAATATTAGTCGTTTTAAATTTATTCATTTTTACTATTTAATTTTAATATGAACTCCGTAAAATGTTTAAGGTTAATGGGCTACAAAAATCAGTGGCGATGTTTTACTCAGAGGTAACTGCTTCGGTTACATTTTATTTTAGGTTACCTTAACCTCTTCATCTATTTTAACTATCGATTTCAGTGTGATTCTGCGACAAGAGCTTACTCAAGCTACAGCTCCGTTAACTATACCAGTACCAGATGGTGTTGAGAAGCCAGTGTCGCCTAGAATCGAAAAGATCGTCAATGAAATCACAACGCTGAATCTTCTGGAGGTGTCCGAACTAAGTCAAGTCTTGAAGAAACGACTCAATTTACCTGATGCTCCTGTTATGCCCATCGGTGGATTTGCAATGACTGCTGCAGCTCCCGCAGCTCAAGAAGAAGAAGACGCTGCACCTAAATCCGTGAAAACCAGTTTCACTGTATGTAATGTCTTGAATTTTACGTAATGTTAAGTTTATTAACGCTCATAAAACATATTTTTTATAAAATTAATTGTTTATTATAAGGAATGTAATATTTATTTGGCCATCTTACAGGTAAAGATGACAAAATTTGATGATAAACAAAAAGTAGCTCTGATCAAAGAAGTTAAAGGACTACTAGAAGGATTCAATCTTGTGCAAGCTAAAAAATTTGTTGAAAGTGTGCCTACAGTAGTAAAAGCAGATATTTCCAAGGATGAGGCGGAAAAACTAAAAGAAGCATTAACCAAAGTCGGAGCTGTCATAGAGATTGAGTAGTTTATTTAGATGTAGGTAATTTAGTTTAATTAGGTAATAAAATAATTTGCTCTTGAGCTGTTGTTTTATTTAGTAGTCAGTATTTTTTTAAATACATACACCCATGCTCATGGATACCTTGCAGTATGGTATGACAAGCAGGTCCATCTAATGACTAGTGTTGATTATAATAGCCACTAGGACCATATTATAAATATAACCATGATTATACTTATTATATGGTGGTAATAGTACCCTTATTAATTTAGTAACAAGTCTCATATCTATGACAAAGTAAAAACACGTTAAAAAGATTGATTTGGACATAAGTGGGAACCAACTACTGGAAAAATATTAAAAACAACGTGTTAAATAGACAAAATCAAATACTTCCAGTGATAATTATGGATGAAAGTTAAACCATCATCTGAGGACTCAAAGTGAAATGTGTAAGGGTTGGGGCAAAAATGGTTTATTCATAGAGTTTATCACCAAAGTATAGTTTAGTATGTGACAAATCATTATATTCATAATGAAAAATCCACCAGCCCAGGTCCCATCTCAAGAGTACCTGGGGCTAATGATTTTTAAGGATTTTTCATGAAGAATATTTTCTAGTATAGCATTGTGAACCTTTGTACACCATATTTTAGGCAAATAAATGATTGATCAAATATAATTTATATTTTTTGTCAGTTCTGATGCAAAGGATCTTCAATCAGAAAACTTACTGCCTTTAATATGTTTAAATTGTTAAAGTTGACAAAGAATAGGCTGAAGAGACTTTTGAAAATTGAGACTCTCCGCTCATTTAAAACTAATTTGTTTCTTTTTTTACTTGACAAATGTTATTACTCGGTAAAAGATTATCTAAATGACATAACATTATAATATTTAATTGAAAATTAATTCATATGTATAATTGTATTTTTTTCACTTGATTTCATTTTACATTTTTATATTTAATTATTGATATTTATAATGAATCTATGACATAATTTAATATAATCTGACATTTTTATGTAATATTTGTACGCCAACTAGGCAGATTTTTGTTGGGACTTGATTTGGCTATAACACCTTTGCATATGTTTTGTATACCCAAAAATTTGACAAATAAATGAATTTGAATTTGAGTTTATAATATTTTTTAATAACTAAAGAGGTATAAACATCTCATTAAAAACAAGTGTATGATTTACATAACAATATTTTACATGAGTTTCTAAATCTCATTTATACTTATGGATCCAAACTACTGGATTGAATACAAATGCACCTTAAGTAAAATTTTTTGTTGACACAAAAGAATTCAAAGGAATGAAAATATCACATTTTTCCGTTCATTTACAACCCATTTTAAGATTAAAGTAATTAATAATCTCAGTAAAGATAGTCTACCACAATGTAAATAATTAACCTTATGGTAGAAATAATATTAAAAATCATAAACAACACAAATGAAACACACTGAACTGATGAAAATATGTCAGTAACAATCTAATGAATTGACATCTCCGTTAACTTCATAAATACCGAGTACATCGTCCAGAAGAGAAGATATATTTCTTATTCCATCGTTCCATTCACGTTTTTGTTGAACAATATTTTTATTACTGACCATAAAATTCACAAACAGAGAAGGAGATGCTGATCTTAACAATTTTATTTTTGGTGACGCGACCATGTGATTCTTTTCATTTTGCAAATTCATTTGTGTCTGGTACATATCTGCCAACAGATTCATATCATCCGCATTCAGTATTCCTTCTATTACATTTTCTGCTTTGGTTGAAGCTTCAGCCTCCATTTCTTCCCCATTTTCCATAAATTGCTCATCTTTTATATCACATACTAAGTCAGCCACTGACTTAGGATCATCCTCAGATAATTGCATTGTCTCAGGCACTTTATATTTTTGTAGAACGACAAACAGTTCTTGTGCTACAGTTAAAGCAGTTTCCATGACCTCTAATTCGTGGTCATCGTGTATTAATTTAAGTAGAACTGTAAGGCATCCCATAGCCGCCAATTCATCGAGAACCTTTCGTAAAATCTTCTGTATCTCTACATTGTTTAATGTGACAATTTTTCGTGATTCTCTTGAGAATGTCATTTGTGGAAACGTGCCATCCAACATTCCATAATCAGTAAGGAGCGACTGTATAACCATTTTCCAGAATTTCAAAGCACTCATTTGTACCTCCCAGTGAAAATCGCACATAGCAGTGGATGCCATGTGATCATAAAGGGTCTGTTTGAACGATGGTGAGAGCTTGACATTTTGATATATTTCGCAAAGCACATTGCAAACTTCTCTCCTGACGATACCTTCTTCGTTGTTGCGTAGTACAGTGACTAAGTCTTCCTGTCGAAGAGTAAATAACATTGTTTCAATATAACAAACCGTAACACAAAAAAAAGGTAACTATATAGTATTAAAAAAAGCCTGAACAGTAAAACTGCATCTATAAAACAGCAACATCTTCGAGCTAACCTGATACGTCAACAAATTCGAAATATCTTTATACGAATAAACTTACTTAAAGTACTTGTGAATCGTCCAACATTTTTCCCTACCACTCGTTCAAGAACCTTTGGCTGATAAGAAGAATGAACAAAAAACTCACCAGCTCTAATACAAGTGACAACATACACAAAAACCATGTCATTACTGGATAAATCTACACTAATATTATACAGTGGTAAACTTTGTTTGTTTGTAATGAAGGGACTCAAACCTACTGGACCGATTTTAAAAATTCTCTCACCATTCGAAAGCTACATTATCCACGAGTAACATAAGTTATATTTTATTTTGGAAAAAATAGGGTTCTGTAAGATATTTGGGTTTTTCGGACACAAGGGGTAAAAAATCAACCATAAAAGTTACTTATTTTGCGTACGCTGCATAAACTATAAAAGATAGAACCATAAAATGTTATAATTCATTGTAGATCTTATAAATATCTACAAAAAAATCCGCGACACACTATACCTATCTATGTCGAGTGAGGCATAACAACCATATTTTTATATAAAAATCTTGAATTTTATTTGGACTACATTTAACGCGTTTATTTTACTCATGCTATTAATCTTTATCAAAATAAATTATTTCATCACTAAGTACAGTTTATTTAGATGCTATTTGGTCTTTGAGTGATTAAAATTGGACGTTTGGTTCCGAAGTTATAGCGAAATTAAAATATTACAGTTTCTGCTGCACGGCCCGTTGCGAAGTGGGCGTGGCGGGGGTGCGCGTGCGGCTCAGACGCGAGGGATTTTGATGAAATTTGGTTTACAGATATATTTGCTGACTTAAATAATAGGATATTATTATCCCACTGAACATTTCCCTAGGGACTACGCGGACGAAGCCGCTGGCGAAAGCTAGTACATAATAAAATTAATAATATAATTATACTACAACTCTTAGCAAAATAATAGTGGAATAAACCAAGAAACAACAAGAAAGAAACAGATTCCAAAGTTCTAATAGTTTAAATATGAAGTGTTCGCTCACAAGCAAGTTGGGATGTTCAGCTTTCATCAGGTCCCACATGGAGCAGACGCGGATGGCGGCGGCCACGCAACGAAACGCTGACACTTGCACGTACGGCTCGTAGTCGTTGAACGCCACCGTCACCGCTAAGTTTATCAAGTTGTTCTCCATTATCTGCTTCTTTATAGGCGGGAATTCTAAAATTAAAAAGAAACTATATAACAACATTCTCTAAAGTAATGTATGAAAGTGATAAAACCATATTTACATAAAGTCGATAATATAATGCACAAGTGTATTCAGGATAATGTAAAATTCAAATTTAATACTATGCATTTATTATTCAAATAACCTTATTAAACACACTTTTAAATCGTCCAAGTTTTTATTTACCACCTGTTCTGTAACTAAATAATGTATTTCTATGGTAACAAAATAATCTTCTTCTTCTATTCTTCTATCTTTATCTATAATATAAAAATGAATCGCAAAATGTGTTGGTAAGCGCATAACTCAACAACGACTGGACCAATTTGGCCAATTCTTTTTTTTTAATGTTCGTTGAAGTTTCTAGGTTGGTTTTTACGGTGAGATAAATTCAAATAATAAAACCCTAAAATACCTTTTTCTTTTTCCCAGACAAAAGTTTTCTAACTAAAATGTAGAGTCAATTTGAGCTTCATTCCTATTGTATAAACTTCACTGTTTTCTAAGCAATATAGGTGTGTTCCTAACGTCAAAGAGTAAATTTGCACTTTATTATCGCTATACAAAGTTCAAATTCAATCATATCTATCAAAACAGTGTGCGTGTGTGCGTTGGAGCACAGATACATCAGATACAGTCTTATTATTTTCAATTATTAATTTGATATCCCTATTTTCAAGGATTTGACATTTGAAGTTTGAGATTGTATAAAATATATGTTTTTAATGCTTACAAAGTTTTTATAATAACGTCTATATGTAATTTATACTCTCACCGATCCGCCATTTTTTTGTCCAAAACAAAGTCCCCCACCGCTTCTATCTGTCTGTCCGTTCGCGATAAACTCGAAAAGTACTGGACGGATTTTCATGCGGTTTTCAACAATAGATAGAGCAATTTTTGAGGAAGGTTTAGTGTATAGTAAGTTTAGGTTTTTTACTAACTGACTACATTAACACGATATTAGTTCAATATGTCGGAAAAAATAAAGCCGATCGGAAGCTTTCCTCGAAAACGCTGCCAAAAACTTTTGAGTTATAACAAAACATTGTATGGTAGTATTGTACCTCTTTAATAGATCTACAAAAAAGTCTGCGGTGGTATATGTCTATATTCCAAGGATAACCCACAATAACCATTTTTTACGTATACTTAAGACAGTAAAATGATGGGTTATTTACAAACCTATTTTTAACAATACAGTATTGATCCTTATTCAAATAAATAAATTAGATACGTTATGGATGTAATTTAGATTAAAATTGCCTTTTACGCTATAGAACAAAAAATAACTTAATGAGTTAGCGAAAAATAAAAATCACCGGGCGAGCCATTAAATATTGATGAATAAAAATGAATCGCCGAAACGTATGTACGCGCATAACTTCAGAATTCCAGTTCCGACTGCACCTAATTGGATGATTCTATTTTTTATGTGTTCCACGATTCATGACACGGTTTGTATATAAGATTTTTTTTAAAACAGATATAAGACGGTACGAAGTTCGCCGTGTCAGCTAGTATAGTATAATTTACATCCTTCTTTAAGTATGTAATCAAATAGTAGAATGGGCGAATGCATCACATGATTGGTTGGTATAACGGCTGCCAACACAGTTGGACCTTCCTCCCAGAGTAATGAGGAGCAGCCTGCGTAATGACTATTACTCACTTATATATGCAATTTCGGTGCACACAAGCAACAATTCCAGCGCAGAGTCCCTAACTTCCCAGTGCATATCGTGCATCTTCATATACATAAGCATGCCGATCTCGTGCATAGCGGAGCCCGGCTTTGCTTCCATCAAGAGAGAAAGGTTTGGAGGTAGGAACTTCCGAACAGTTTCCGTCATCACATTGAGCGCTGCGACGACAAACTGAAACCATAAGCATTATATTGACTTATTTAAAGGCTACATTAACCAAGCACATGAAGCGCGCGTAGTGATGTGAGAAAAAAATATAACTAGTTGCCCAATATATATAAAGAAATGACAAAAAATTTCTTGATAATTTAAAACAATAACTCATTAATAAAAGCTATTATATCGGAATATTTAAAAGACTAAAATCTATTAATAAAAGACTAAGATCAGTCTCATATGTCGAACTCAAATGAAATAAGTAAATTTTAATAAATATGACACATATTTTATAGAGAAGTAATTAATATACATTTAGAATTAATGAATGGATGATTAACGATTTTTAATGATACTAAATATAAGAATATAATATATTTATGTTTAAATTATAACATTAACAAAACTGAAAATTTATATTTATGTATTGTTTATTTTTTATTAATTACAATAATAAAAACAAATGCTCCTCCTTTCGTGAGACTAACTTAATTATGTAACATTATTTTAAATTATCTATGGAAACAATAAACTTACTGAGTATTGAGTATTGAGAAATCCTAGCGCATTAATAAAATTTTTAAATGTGTAAATTCACACCACCATATTGTGTTGTTTTTGTATCATTTCTAAAATTTGATAGGGCGAAAGAAATTGTCGAATGTTGAATTTGCTGTTTGAGCGTGACCACCAAGTGTAGATATGAAAAGTAAAGGACATACAAGTGATTGCCTTCTTTATCATATAAATTTTATGGCGCGATCCTCTGGTTTTCACATCTATTGGTTTATAGCCTATAAAAAACCCTTCTGGATGGGTTTGAACCTGCCTCTTGGTAATTAACAACAGATGGCCTATGGTATATTCAATAATCCGTTTATTAAAGCATTAGACAGAAGTTAAATAAGGTTCTTTTTATGGTAAACTTTGTGACAAAACATTAACAATCATGTTACTCTTAAGACTGACGGCTTATTTGATACATATCCACTTAAATACCAGCTGCTATACTTAACAGTTGTCGTTTAAGCTACCCGTTAAACGAAATTATGAGTATTTGACTAACTTTTACAATAAAAAGTGTTTATCTTAAAGAACCTAGAGAAGCAGGGTTGGATACTCTCGGCACGATTCTCGTGTCACTATTACTCTACCAAATTTAAAACATTGCCTAATTAATTGTGAATGTTATTGCCTTTCTTGTTGTTTTACCATATTCCGTGATTGAATTGTTATTGTTTTATTGTTGTCCTCTTATGGTTTTGTTTTAGTTGTTATCTTTTTGAAGTTAAGTTTTGCTAAATACGCACGATTCTGGTGCAGGTCCGAATGGCCTACAACAATTACCTCTGACGTTTCAGGAAGTTTTTCCAATATCTTAATAAATAACCTAATAATATCTGAATAAATGTTATAAAAGTAATAATAAAATTTTCATTTTGTTTACCTATCTTTCCTGGGCATAAATATAAGTAAATTCTATTCTAATTATACACTTACAATTATAATTAATCAAAACAGATGGACAGTTATAGTTCCATATTGGCTTGGGAGTAAAAGATGAATATAGAAAATTCTAGCCTCATCGCAAAAGAAAATGGAAAATTGCCCAACTCTTTCAGACTACTTAACGTTCAAAGTTTCAGCAAAACTATTATATATATTTTTAAAAATTATCTTGAAAATAAAATGTTGTGCACTGCTGCTTCAGTGATCCTCTTTTTTCTAATGTTATAATGAATGGAGTATAGCTAGCTTTAGAATATTCAGAAACATAACTCACCTTGCATGATAAATTTTTCTTCTTAGTAAGCATATCATGTACAACAGTATTCAAGCATATGACTTCTAATGTTTCATGCCAATTGATGTTATGATTTTTAATTAAACAAAGAATTGTATCCATTACATATGTCATAATAACTACTCTCTGCTCAGTGGTCTCCAAGTTTTCCATGGATTGTGAATCCCTGTTTTCTTGTGCATAATCTCTCAGTACAAAGAATAAAACTTGGAATATGAAGTTTGCTTGGTCATCGTACATGTGACCATGAAGACATGTCAATTTTTTCACAGTATGAGTGATCAAAGATAAAATATTAGTTTCAGATCCAGATTGATTTAGTTCTATCATACAACCTCTCATTGCATAGCCCAATCGAGCCGTATGCTCGCACGTCTTATTCAATAGCAAAGAAATATATTCTTCAATTCTCTCATCCTCAAGTACTTTCCGCTCTCTTGTGTCATAGGAGATGTAAACATATAGTGGTACTAGACATATCAGTAACATCTGATAGTCCGGATCTATTATTCTTCCGTTGTGTTGCCCTTCCAGTCTAAGATCTCTACAAAATGTTGACCAGGCCAAATACGACATATAAGAGTTGTCTAAAGCAGCAATGACATTATGCCTTTGCAAAAAGGCTTGGGTCATATTGAAAAAAAGAACTTTCACTTCTATGAAATCTTCTCCAGTATATACTACATCTGGGCCACTGGGTTTAGTCTGAAATACTCTCAAAATCGACAAATACATTATCAGTTTTGAAATTGTTAAAAGGATATGATCTCCTCTCATCTTTTCAAATAATATGTACAGTTTGTTAAGCACACCATGTTCTCTCAGTAGCATACTCATTATTAAATTAGGTTTATTGAACCTTTCTTTCCTATTTAACATGCTTAGTAGAATCTGTAATATTGGTTCTACTGTATTACAAATTTCATTTTCTCTACTTTCATCCATTGTACAACATACCATATTCAACAAATCAAAATCTTCAATAGGTTTCCAGATGAATTCCAACACCATACTTATGTGAAATTCATCACCCAAATCATTCAGTTTCCATAAGAAGTCTGAAGCGAATTTATACATAAAGCGAACAACAAAAATAGTCACAGAGTTTGTCTTGAAACCTAGTATTTTTTTCCAAAACCCTGTCTCTAATATCCAATTTGTACCAGAAACATGTGAGACAAGTGCCATGGCAATCTCCATATATGCTACCCTTAAACTGGGATTCATAACAGGGGAATCTATTGCACTAAAAAATTCTGCCAATTTATCCCCTCTTTTACAAATAATTTTGGCAAAATTAATTTCACTCTGAAGGGCAACAGCTAGCATTCTTGCAAGGAAGACTTTGACCGATATGTGATAATTTTCAATATTTGTGAAGGCTTGCACTATTAAATCCGTAAACAGTGGCATTGTTTTCAAACTTAAAATATCTGAAACATATCAAATAAAATGTAATGAAAAGATCAAATGGGATTAATTATGGAACCAGTGGTGGAAATGCAACAGTGTTATCAAGAGGGGGTAGAAGGGGCAGCTATCCCCCTAAAGATTCTAATAAAGTTGCCCAATGTAAAGCAAATAAAGTCCGAAGTCTGATTTCACTTACTTGATCGATCAGTCTCATATGTCGAACTCAAATGAACTTAGTTGATGTAGGAGAAGTGGAGTGAAGTACATTATTCTAATAACTCATTTACACATTTATTCTACAGTCAAGAGCAAATGCAACTACAAGTTGGACTCTGTATTGTTTTTATTACAATTGACGTAGTTGCAATGCAATGCATATTATTTAGCTCATTCTCCATAATCAACTTGCGCCCCCTGGGTCATAGGCTCCAAACACTCATGTGAAATGTATAGAAAAAAACATAGAAATATATTTACCAGTGTCACAATCATGAGTCAGTTTGTTAATTAAACCATCTGCATAATAGTTGTTCATAACATAATCTGGCTGCGTGATTTTTTCAAACAGCAACTTAAGTTTGTTTTGAATACGGGACATCTCCATTATGGCAAATTTTTACTGATATTGTTTATTATGCCTTATCACTTTTCAATTCCATTCAATTTCTTCGTTAGTGGCTCTACTATGACTAAGCCAGCATCAAGTTTCAGGTGCAATGGTGTTTATTATTTGTTCGATTGGACTCGATTGAAATCAAAATCCTCAAAGCCTTCAGCCTTCAAAAGGCCGGTTGAATATTGCAAACTCGCGAGGAGGAAGGGATTTCTTTAACCAAGTATAGGCATGTCTTTATTTAATCATTATTGCATGGTATTATTGAATAAGATATTTTCGAACAAGAAAAGGGTCCACTTTGACAATACGGCAAAACAAAACCGACAGTCACTGAAAAAAAAACAAAATTTATTTAATCTCAATATAAAAGCACTCTTTGGTCACAGATCACTCTTTGGTCTCAATGAGGAAGTGTAGTGTTATAAAAAAAGTTGCACTAAATAGGATTGAGCATAAACTATCGATATATCAAAATATCGATATATTTTCCGAAAAATATCGATATAATTCAGAGATATTTTTCCCGAGGTATAACAGCTTTTGATATTCATTTTCAGATATCAAATTCGTATCATAATCGATATATTTTTTAAAGTTCTACAGCTCATACGCCGCATCATCTATTTCTTAAATTAAAAAAAAAGTAGGCAGTAGGCTGTATGACTTTAGAAATTACAGTCTATATCCTGATTGTCTTTTTTGTTTCTTTATGACAATGATACTGCTTGTCGGTTTGGTTGGTATCACTGATAGTGCTCCAATCAAAATCAAAATTTATTTATTCAGTTTAGGCTTTTACAGAGCACTTGTGAAAGTCGAAAACTACGCCATCGGTTCGCAAAACTACGGTGGGAGACCTTGTACTGAGAAGAACCGGCAAGAAACTCAGCAAGGGCTGTTGTTTTCTCCCTGTTTTATTTCACACAGAGAAGTCTTATTGAAAAGTGACTTCATTAGAATATGAAGTCACTTTCCATTACATTATTAGAAAGTAAATACAAACAAGTTAAAATATCTAACACCATGCCTTTTTGTCATTTAGATATTCCTTAACGGTATAATACCCTTTACTTTGTAGACACTTTTTATATGACTTTTAAAATGATTTATTGGCAAATCTAATACATCACTGGGGATCTTATTAAAGTATTGTATACCTTGACCCAAGAAAGAACCTAATACCTTTTGTAACCTGTAAGAAGGCATTCCTAGCTCCTGATGTTAATATCAGATAAATACTGATTCGTTTGAATAATGTAATTTTTGTTGTGTTGATGATATTGTTTTGTTGGCCTTATGTACCTATTTTAAAAAAGAAAACAGCCAGGTGTTTATTTGCTTTAAAATGTCGAATATTTTGGCAATTTTTATAGATAGTCGCTTATTGCGCAAAAATATCGATATATATCGATATATTTATAATAATATTTTCGTTAAAATTGATAAATATCGATACGATATTTATCGTATTTTTTCCCCATTTGCCCATTTTCGAGATAATTGCGAATTTTAGTTCGATTTAATGGAATTTATTATCTTTATTAAAAATATATTGTAATATTTTATGATTTTCACATCTCACACAGCTCTAAAGTATTAATCTAATGTAATATAGTCCAAAAAATGTTGTTGTCTTTTTTCGAAACATTTTTAATTTCTTTGCTTTGCTACTATTTCTTTGACCAAAATTTACTTGGAATATTAAAATCGATTACGCATAATGTTGTTTTCAGTCTTAGAATATATTATAAAATAGAAAAATAAAAGCAGTGTTTGTTATAAAATTATTTATTCACTACCTGTATCTCCTCTCAGAACTAGTTAATCCAAAAATGCAGCTGGAGGATTAATGTTATTTTGGTACCTAGCCCAACCCAGATACCACACAATCTTCATAACATGTGCACAACAACCTACATTACGACGTCTCGTCCATTAACACCATTCATAATCAAAACATAAACATAATACTGGCGCCTTGAGACATGTCGTTCCGTTTGATTCAAAAGAATTTCGCTCTATGCGTAACTGGTTCAACTGCACATTAATTTTTCACACCATTAAAATAAATGTTTTATAAAATATTATTCTAAGTTAAGAAAATAAAATTAAATGTAATGGTTACTGTGCACTTTTTTAACCTTATGACGAATGAATATATTTCTCGTTTTCTGCGATTCGTTTTAATGACACGAATCGCAGAAAATGGTCATTCTGCTGTCCGAATCGCGTTCTCGTATTTAACATAGAACTTTTTTTAAACTTAATCAGCCTCCTTATTATTTCTTGGTCTTATTTTAATACTTTATTATGCGCTATGTAATACGTAAAAATTACGCTTTTTTTTTTAAGATATATCACATCACTAGACGCGTTAGTTAATTTCTAGGTCAAAATTGGATATGATTCTTTGCAAAGTTTGAAACTTAGATATCAATACAAATACGAAAAACCACAAATAGAATATGAGTTATTTATTGAGTTTTTAAAATTAATTTACATTTATACATGAAAGAAAACCGGAAGGGTTGTCTTGGAGAGTTTGACTTTGGAAATAATATTTTTTTAAATAGGGAGTTTTATAGTGAGGGAGCCACTTAGTAAACAAATTGCGGGCTAGTGCATTTAAGAAAGAAGAATGAGGAATATCATAAAAGTAAACATATATACTAATAAAAAATATATAAAAATAATAAAAAAAAACAGAATACGATTTCGGGAAGATGAGTCCAGCTTGAGGAAATATTTCTTGACATGTTTAACAAAGGACTCCCGTGATTGTAGACGTCTGATATTTACTGGCAGTGCCACAGTTTAAAAACTCTTATAAAAAACGACTTGGTAATGAAATTGGTTGTATAGAGAGGGATTACTAAGGAAAGATAATGGGAAGACCTCAAGTCTCGGAGAGGAGTAGAAGAATGAAAAACGAAGCGTTCTTTATAATATTGACGTGTTTGAAGATTACAAAGAATAGAATAAAGAAGCGATAGGATGTGACTGTCTTTTCTACGAGAGATAGGTAGCCATAAAAGAGTATTATAACCAGATCACACTTGCGTAGACCAAAGATGAACCTGGATACATAAATTTTATAGTCGCTCAAGCTTATTTAGATGTATGGCACTTAGGTTTTGCAGGGAGGTTTTTTAGATTAGGGAAAAGCAGGGTTTGCGCAAGAGAGATTTTTGTTGTAGTCGGCAAAAAATTCTTCAGCCATTTCAGCGAGCTATATGGACCAAAAACTTTTCTACTGACTTCACGTACGTGAAGACTCCAGGACAAACTGCAGTCAAGTTTTCATTAAATATCTACAACTGCTGCTATCTCCAATATGGCCGTGGCAAAAACTGCTTGGAAGTATCTAAAAATGATTTTGCAACAGTAATGTCAGCTCAAAAACAATGAATAATCTATTAAACAAGTCTGCCAATTCTGCAGAGCATGCTCGTTTCTTAGCTGTCGCTGAGTGGCAATCCGGTCTTTGGTTACAAGTCTTGGCGTCACCAACTGTTGGGACACTTCTAGATAATACAACTTTCCGCCTTTCAGTTTGTCTTCGCCTGGGGGCTACCTGTAATCTCCCCCACCTTTGCCCTTACGGTGAAAAACTGGACTCTTTAGGTCATCACGGCTTATCTTGTAACAGAAGTGCTGTCATATCTCTCGGCATGCAAGTATTAATCATATCATCAATCGATTGTTTAGAGATAGCTGACTATCGATATGCCAACAACTCTACTAATACTTTACTTACTCTTTGATTGTGATTGTTCTAGAATTTCGAATACCTGTCCGCTTGCATTTGTCTGTCATTTTTTTAGAAAAATTAATGTTATTCGTGAAGACGTGTTTAATTTATTTTAATAAAATACTGTGGTTGTATTTGTCATTGTGGACTCAATATACTTGTGGGTGAAATGCCTCTTAGGGGAGGAACGTTCGTAAGTTATGCATTTATTAACTTTTACGATTAACGTGCTTGCTTCATTAGTATATTGCATGACCTTATCTAAAACTTAACGTACTTTTAGGATAGGATAATATTCGATTAAAAATTGCATAGCTTATTTTCAGTTTTGCTTGTTCCACTGCACCATATTTTTTGGCATATATCCAATTTGTACGTAGTATCCTTGACTGTGTAAAAATGATAAGAGATTAAGAATTTTTATATAAATTTTTTGGTGTTTGTTTTAAATATTTATAATATAAAAGTTGTATTGTGGTTTTCCACAGGATATTTGATGCCCGCCTGTCATAACCCAGTGTTCCTGAGTGTAACCTAACTGCCTGCTTTTGAGGTTAGTTTTTTCTACTATATTGAAGTTTGAAATTTATTTATTTTTTGAGAAAATTCTCTAGTAATTCTGCACTAAACATTATATGTAAATAACTATTTTAAATAACAAAAAAGTGTTAAAACATTTGTAATAATTCTTGATTTTTTTTTATTTACACTAAGAAATTTGCCTCATGATACATTTCTTTGTACTGAGATATTTAATTTTATAATCTCGTAACTCTATATGGTTTTAGAGATTACAAGAGATAATTTATTCTCTAGGATGAATGCTTTATAATTTTTGAAATCATTTGAATACTTACAAATAGGGAATTTTATGGTATGAATTCATTATGATGTTTCTGTAATGATGTTATGGGTGATATTGATCAGTTGCAACTAGGAGTGATGTGAAATAACTTGAAGTTATATATTTGCACTTTATTTACAATTTATACAAGATTGATAACATAATAAACACTGCATATATTACTTTCTGTCAGTAACATTATAATGTGTTAATGTATTTGAATGCTTAGCTTTTCCTTTTTATTTGTACGCACAGTTGATGTCGCTATTTATAGTCTTTAAATGATAAATCATAAATAAAGAAATGACATAATTCTAAAACTTATTTTTTAACTCACCTTGCAATTATATTTTTCTTAGAATGGTATCATAGGGATTCCAAATGTTGGTGTTTTGTAAAGTAAGTAATTTATGGCAGGTTTCTAAATTGAGAAAAGTATGAAATCTCAACAGATTATTCTCTATAACTTAAGTATTTATGTTCCAATTTTATCAAACTGCTGTCAAGTGATCATAATTTTTTTTTTAAATCAGTAATGAAGACCAGTTTCTTTGATGTTTAAGTATGGTTTGAGATGTGCTTTGAATTCTCAATTCAGAAAATGGGTGTAAGTACCTTTAAATATTAGTTTTGTCTGTGACATCATCATCTCTATGAACTTCATAGAAAGTGATAGGTCAAGTAATAATATTATTCTGTGACTTTAATAATCACATTGTGGTATGGTAATAAATATATAAACAAAGTACAAGATTCATAAATGCGAAAACTTCTATAAATTCCAATACCTGGTCTATAATGTCCTGCCCCTAGATGGGCAACAGGGAAAAAATGCATCTACAGTTTTGCTTTTCAATAATCAGTCATATTCAAAGTGTTTGAGAAAGGGGATCAGTGTGTTCATCCTAAGAATCTGTGAACTACTGTCAGTATTAATTTAGGTCATAATTCAGGTAATCTTTGTTGTTTTGCTTCTATGATATGAAAAGCATCATTTAAGTTTCCTAAAGTTCAATCAAGAGTGAGCATGTATGGAAACAGTAATGAAAGTGCCCTTTGCATATTCTGTAAGAGATACAGTGATAAGATATAATATGAAGTAGTTTTCTCATTTTTAATAAACCTTATTTGAACTTAATTAGTTTCTGTGTACAACACTACTTGAAAGTGAGTGATATTTGGTATACACACCCTTGTAAATTTATCATGCCATCTTCATTGAATTTTTTCATCCATAAAGATTATACTATATTTTTTTCCTTTCTCTAAAGGAAACTATAACATTTGGTCACTTCATTTGGATATAAAATGAAAGAAAATACTTTCTCTTTAAGTATGGATTCTTCTCTCCAATGATCTTATGGTGCAGTTGATTTATATGAAAACAAAGATAATGGATGGATGAATGAATCTGCATTACTGAACTTGTGGACAGTGGGCGGATCAGCTGTGGGCGTAGATAGTCGCTTGCGTCAAGGTAGCGACGGCATTAAGTAGTCGTCATATTGTGTCGTTAATATTTGAATTCGCATAGCATTTTATTGTTACTCTACAGTCTACACCAATGATGGAATACCGTGAGACCTCTGCGTGAATAAGTTCTACCAAGTTTTCGTGTTTTTGTCTCTTCTTTCTTAAGAAGCGTAAGCCCTATCTCATTTGGTATTCCTTCTTTTTGGATAATGTTTTTACTGCTTTTTGGATAATTCAGTAATCTGCATTTACATAATTTTAATTGGCATAATTTTACTAGACGAAAAAGACCCTAACAATCTGTTAGGTTAGATTAGGACCGTGCCAAAACCAAAAGCAAACTGAGCGAGCGAAGCAAGCATACCCCGGCAACAGCCAACAAACGCTATGTGTAAGTTACATTTAAAATTTAGGGTGTTACGCGAAAATATAATTAGGACAAACAAACGTACGCCGTATTGTCATACCTTTACATTTTATGCAAATGGATAGGGAATCATCTCATTTTTATTGCTGCAAACGCTTCATTACTTTACATGCCTACGTGAAGTAGCTTATATGCTCTTTTCTTTTGTTCCTCTTCCTGGTTTCAGTTATTCAACTCTTATTTTAGTTCATTGTTTTATGTTGACACATTAACTTTCGTTTTCGCCCTCTTAAGTCTTTGTTAAACTATATTTTTGTATGTAATACACTTTAAATTAATATTTGATTAGATAAATAAATATTCGTATTGATAAATCACAAAACCGACTGTTTCGAATTCGACAAAATAATCAGCGAATTATTCTTTTGTTGGATTCAAACATATGGCATCATTAAATTTAAGTCACAGCTGACAAATGATAAAATGACTATCCATATCTTATAGTACTCGTATAACTCAGGGTCATATCATAAACGTTATTAAACATTAAATAAATTAACCAGTTACATTTGAAATCGAATATTTACAATGATAATAATATTATAAACCCTGAGATTTCTTTGTTAGCTTCGCGATTGCTTGCTTGAGTGTCTCGTTTCAAAAATAACAGATTACATTGCATACGTGCAATTTATAATCGAAACAATGAGACAAATCGTCGGAGCGTGTAGCGTATCGTCTCAAATGTGTGTACAGTGAATGACAGAAATACAGTGAATCTGCAGCGGTATCTCAATAACTTTTACATTATAAGCCACATCTTGGATATTTCATAACAAACCACACGATCATGTTTTAAACTGAATTTTTAAAAGAATTACTATCAAATATATGACTAATGAAATATAAAATAAACAGTGAATAGCGTAACTAATTACAACATTACGCACTTGATTTATAGCAGTTTTCCATATTTACCTAGTAATGTGTAACATGATCAATCATAATGAAAGAAAATTGCAGGAAAAAATGATTGTGTGGGGATAAATAGTGTAAAGCTTGAAATTATTCAGAGAATATTAGCAACTTGAGGTAATTTGACGTGCTGTCGACTATACAAAAATTAAACCTGACCTTATTCCAGATCAGCATTAGAATTTATTGGGATTAGTTACGATAATTTTTGTATTTAATTGAAGATGGTTGGTTAGCACGTTACATATTCGCCGAATACATGTTCAACATTATTTATTAAGAGTTACTTATTAAGAAAATTGATAATAATGTCAGAAGTTCGCATGTTATTAGGTCAACAAAGAATTAACAAATTGTGACTGATCAATTCACTACGATTCGTATAAATTGTCTCGTTTTAAATGGCGATTATAATTATGTGCAAATTACTCTGTTATATGCACTGTGTCCGTGTGTCATCTCCATAAATAGATCGAGAACGTTAACGATGTTTGATTATGGCGCAGACACATAATTTACCTGCTTCCTTTTACATTAAGAAATCCCTCGAGATCAAATTGACAAATGACAAATGAGTAAAAGTGTTAATAATACTGGTTGAATTTGGACATAGAAAGTTACACCAGCGAATAACATCTAAAAAAAGAATTTTGTCTTTTTACATAACACAGTGGAGGAAGTCTAACTTTCGAATCAGGATGCCATACTTAATATATAATATTTTACACGCTTACCATGCCTTATTTCAAAACTATCTGACTTTAATACATGGTCCGATTTAGGTATTTAATTACACCTGGTAAAAATTATATTGGTTTAACTAATATGAACCAGTTTAAAAGCTTGCTATTCGAAAAATGTGATGTAAATATGTGATATTGTTGGTATTGCATGTGTATGATGGTATTTTTATTGGGATTTTTATTTTGCTGCTTCTTATTTTTGCCATTCTGGATTAATACTCGGCTTGAAGATCCTTAGATCGGGCTCTGCCCATAGCCGGTCCATTCATATAAGCAACTGTCTAAGATGTTCATATTTGGAGGGTGGCTTGGCATGAATTATTGGAACCCAAGCAGTACTCGAACCTTAAAAATCTTAATACCTTGAAATAAAAGCGAGCATTGTTTTAAGATTTTTTGAACTCGCTTATATAGCTTTTCTCATTATTATTGTGGTAGTGTAGTGTAGATAACGTACGTCTAACTCGCAGTTTCACACCAGTCTGTTCTTTTGGTGATAATTCACACTTCCACAGTTAGTATCGTGTTACTATTGTTGACTTAAAAATTAGTCGAACTGCCTGTAGGTTTATCGATATTTACGCCATTAACAATACTGAATTTGGTTGCCC